TGCAGCCTGTCATGAATGAGCAGGGAGAGCAGCATTAACCCCCTAGGGTAAACAGAACAGAACCGAATGCAGATATCATTAATGTTCTTAATGACATTTTAGTGTACAAACATTATTAAAGATAAAAGGAGTCTGATTAAATGAGGAATATAGAAAGCCAAGTCCTGACTGTGACAAAAGGAGGAGCTGGGGATGGAGGAGGGTAATTTGCTCCTGAGCAAGCAATAAAGCTACTGAATAATACAGAATAGACCTTATATAGGAATGTTGTGATAGGCGTCGAATTCCTATAGTAGACGTGGATCAGCTAAGAGTCAGCTGATGCAAGCTTTAGTCACATGACCTGCCAGAACTAATGCTACACTTGATTTTTGAATTGACTTAAGAGGCAGCAAAGAGGATGCGGAATTTTATGTTAAATTTAAAAAGTAAGAATGTATGATTTTCAAAGAGATAATTTGCTGTTCTAAGAAAATGTAATCATATTTAATAAGAATGACATTTTGAGATATAAATTGCCCAGAAATCATTTTATCATACACACAGAATAACATGTATAGAAATTTGTGAGCTATCTCAAAATGTATTTAATTCTATTACATTAATCTTTTCATTGACTATGGTGGAAGAACATCAAGGAGTCAAACCAAGATAAAATTACATTATTTATTAAAAAGTGTTTTTTTTTTTTTTTTTTTTTTTTTTTACAGTTATAGGTTTATACAATTAAAGTGTTTCAAAAATATTTTAATTTCATATTTTAATATTAATATTTTAATATTAAATTAGTATATAAATATTTTAATATATATTTTAATATAAAGGTCTGAGTGCGATACAAAAGCAAAATAAGTATTTGCATAAAAGCATCTGTCAAATGAATAAATTAAAACGCAACTGTCTACAGCGTAAACATGTTAACATGCGTGTCTGAACTTTGTCCAGTTATCACGTACAGTTACACCACAGCTATTTCTTACATTCTCCCCAGAAACCATAATTATGGGAGAAAATGGGAAAACATGATTTTTTTTTTGAGGTTCTATGAAGTGATGTTGTACAGTGCAGATATGGTTGTTCCAACTCAATAAAACACACACACACACACACACACACACACACACA